CTTTAACTACATTTTTACTTGACGCGTATACTTACATGGTTTGACCAACTTGCTTCACTGTAACTTTTTGAGTCATCACCTAGACAAGCTACAATCTGATGGTGATGTAAAGATTGTTTGTCCTCTTCCTCTATTTCCTCTTCAACTATTAACATCACAGAGATCACAGTGTGACCTCCATGCATTGAAGGCCTTATGACATCCATCTCTTGACCCTCTACTGATGATGAGCATTCCACTTTAAATTTGTCATCTGGATGAAGAATAGCCAAAATCACCATAATCTATTTTAACAATGAACTGCCATATATGATCCCTTCATCTATATTAAAAAAAGAGTGTCGAGGTCAATCAATCAACCAATACAAAGCTTGGGGAACTATGAATTTCTTAGAAATTTAATATAAGAATGGCAAACTCACCTTTAAATATTTCCTTAAGAAATTCAATGTGTAGAAATGAATGCTTAAATTCTTCTATGTTTTACACATTTTTATTGTTGAAATTGCACTTTAAAGAAAAGTAGTTTCATTTCATGTTTTTCTTGTAGTACAACAGTGTTGGAAGTGGAGCAAAATGGAGGAGACTTAGAGCAAAAGAAGCACAAAGAGATTGGCACCAAGGCGTCGGACCCCTAGGCGCCTAGGCGATATTCTCAACCCTTGTAACTAGAATGTTGGTGCCTAGGTGGCACCCACTTGGCACCAAGGCACCACGGTACTAAAGTTTAGGTGCCAAACCCTTGGACATTAAGGTACCCATGCATTCCTCAGCAAAATGAGAGACTGTCGCCTAGGTGTCAACAACTGTCAGAGGCAGTTATGATCAGTTCAACCCCCTATCGTGGGAAGTGCAGACGACTAAAAGAGGTTAGTATGCTTATAAAATATCTATGTATGGAAGGAAGGATGGATTGATGTTGGTAGGTCTATGATTGATGAAATTTCAGTTTAAATTGAGTATTTTGTGGAGAATTGAGTTGTAAAGTAAGAAGAAGGTTGTGTGTGTTGTAGAGTTTTGTTCCTTCTTCTTCTTGAGTTGAGAATATGGAAAGTCTTTAGGAGCAACAGCCAGGAAAGCTTTTGGTGGACCATCTTTGGTTGTAAAAGAGAGGATGATAAGTAATTATGCATTTTATTTGTGTATTCTTTTAAACACATCATTTAGTGGAATTGTCTTATTTTCAAATGAAGATTTGCAGTATGTTTGTCATGCTTTATGAGTAGTACTCTTTACCTTACCTTGTGATGATTGAGTAGGATGTGTAGGTATACAAAATATTTTCAAAATTGTTACTTTAAATACTTAATGTGATGATTAACCTTTATATATTCATTTACTTTTCATTCTGGCTAATTGAAATATTAAAATGTGTTACGAACCATAATGACTCGGGGGAGCTATGGTAGAATCAAATAAGTTAGTCGCATTGAACTGTGGAGTATATGTGGATATGCTTTGTAGGGATATGCAAATGTTAGGGAAATATTCTTTGATGGGTTCAAAATGGATATAAAGAATTAAGTCTTTTTAACCAATCTTCTTTATGCACTCGATAGAGGGTAAAGAAGAGAGTTTCTCCTAATGGATTTAAGGGATTATAGTCTTTTTAATTGAACTGCGAAGTATATGTGGATATGCTTTGTAGGGATATGCAAATGTTAGGGAAATATTCTTTGATGGGTTCAAAATGGATATAAGGAATTAAAGTCTTTTTAACCAATCTTCTTTATGCACTCAGTAGAGGGTAAAGAAGAGAGTTTCTCCTAATGGATTAAGGAATTAAAGTCTTTTTATGGAAATATTCTTTGATGGGTTCAATATTCTTTACCCTCTCTCGAGTGCATAAAGAAGAGAGTTGCTCCTATTTTTCACTAGCCAAAATTTACAATTAACACATTACATTTTCTATAATCCACTTAAATCATTACAAGGGAGGGTAAATTTAGAACCTGATATTCATAAATCCAAAAACTAGGTTATGTAGGATTTTTGTAGGATTTAAACTATAGATTTTTTTGTGATACAATAGGATTAGTTTGTTTGTAGAACTTTAACCTAATCTAAATTACAGTCTAGGAATAAAACTAGTAGTTTAGAACTTTTCCTAAGCCTAATTCCCCATTCCTTGTGGGATAGAATGTGGAGTATCATTTAATGGTTTTGATTGAGCCAACTATTAGACATATGTAGTGGAGATAAAGTTAGAATTATAGAAGGAACATTTGCAACTGTGGTGATTAGTTTTATTCTGTTTTGAGGGGTTTCATACTTCAACTCTCATAAATGATATCATTGGTTCTATCTTTACTCCTCATATCGCTTTTTTTTCAAAAATAAAAACATCTAAAAATTGATTTTTTTTTAATGAAAATCAAAATTTTCATACCATGTGATCACTTTTACTTACTTTTAAAAAGTGAAATACACTTTTCATGCCAAATAAAATGGTAAAAAATAAATATCAAAATGAGGGGTTTCATACTTCAACTCTCATAAATGATATCATTGGTTCTATCTTTACTCCTCATATTGTTTTTTTTTCAAAAATAAAAACATCTAAAAATTGTTTTTTTTTTTAATGAAAATCAAAATTTTAATACCATGTTAAGATATTAAAGATGTAGATACATAAACATTGTGTGCCATGTATGCAAGTCTACAAAACTATTTACAATTTGTAATTAATGGTGTACCCACCCTATAAAATATGTAAGAAAGATAATTAGCTTTATTTTTTCAAAAATGATAAAAATGTTCTAAATCTCATTAATATTATTAAAAGGTGTTTTAATCTTAGTTTTAAAGGGATTTTTTAGCCGTAGATTAGTTGCAAGGATTTCCATTTTTTCTTTCTAAGCTATTAAAGATGGTCATTAAATGAATCGGTTAAGTGATAATTATAAATTCTTATGAAAAAAATACATTTGCATGCATATTTTTTGGCACCAAGATGTTATAAGTGCAAATATGAAATTATAAGTGTAAATATCAAATTTTGGGTGTTAGAAATGTAAATAAAAAAGAATTTTGTGTTATGTACATAAATTTCGCTTTATTAATCTAGTCATTTTTAGTAATTAAATTATGAAATAAATGCTTAATTAGTATTATTGATTTTATGGTTATTAAATATTGGTTTTTTCGATTTAATAAAATCTAAGGCTTTTTTTGTTTTTTTTGAAAATTTTAAACAAATGCAGACACATGCACGCCCCATGCAATATTTTAAACCAACTACCTAGGCTAAGATGGCTCACAATTAAGGCTGTCAAAACAGCTCGTTGTTCGCAAACAGCTGCGTGTTCGGTTCTTTAAGAAGCTTGTGTTCGGCTCGTTAATTTTGTTCGATAAGTTAACGAGATGAACAGGAACTAAGATGATGTGTTCGTGCGTGTTCGGCTCGTTTTGGCTTGAAATACTACTCATTAAGTTTATATATATATATATTAAGTAGTATTTTAAAAAAATCTAATTGACTACAACTCAATTAAAATATTGATTGAGAAAATAGAATAAAAATTATTAAATTAGATTAAAATGATGTTTTAATATAAATAATAATTTTTAAATCTTGCTCAAAACATTATCGTCCTATGGCTACATGATTAGGGTTGTTAAAAGGACTCTTTGTTCGTGAACAGCTCGTGTTCGGCTCATTAAGCAAACGACACGAGCCGAACACGAACACACTTTTTGAGCTCGAAATATAAACGAGCCGAACACGAGCTGAGCATGGTTCACTCGTATTCGGCTCGTTTACACCCCTACTCACAATAAAATATAAGTTGGTGTTGCTTTTAAGCTATCTATAAATTTATCCCCAATATTATCCACTACGAGTGGCTTTACACTTAGAGACAAAATGCGAAATGAATATATCCGTGATAGGGTTGGTGTAGCTCTTGTGAAGGACAAAATTAGAGAAAGTAGTCTTAGATGGTTTGGTCACATTAAACGTCAACCATCTAATGATCCCATTAGGAGAGTAGATGTTTTAGATTCGACTTGTGTTAAGAAAGGCATAGGTAGACCTCGGATAACTTGGCCTTATTGTATAAAAAATGATCTTAATTTAGTAGAATTAAATGAAAATATGACACTAAATAGGACGCAATGGAGAAAAAGGATTCATGTAGCCGACCCCACGTAATGGGATTTAAGGCTTTGTTGTTGTTGTTGTTGTTGTTGTATTAACCACTAAGAAATGAGAAGAGCTTTTATAATGTTGAAAAATCAAATTTTCTTTTTAAAACCAATAACATTATCAAAAATGATTACTAAATAACAACTACTTAAATATTCAACAAAATTAAGCAAAACAATCAATAGTACAAAATTCGTGCAAAGTTTCATTGCAGAGGATTTTAAATCGCTGTAATTGTTAGCATTGTAAAGACTCTTAACACGAGTTTTAAATATTTTTAAAAGCATTTTTTTTAAATGCTGTTAAATCAGGTTTGCCAAATTTCCTTTTTTTAGTAGCATTTACTTGGTGCCGAATATGACTAAACGTCCTGCAAATAGATTTTGGTTTTATCTTAAAAAAACTCTGCTTAATCTGGCTTTTAGTGACGAATTTTTCAGTTTTAACTATCAATTGGATTATCTTTAAATTTATATTTTGTTAATAATTAAAGAGCAGCTTGGAGGGTGATTTCCATATAAACTACTTTCCAGGTAGCTGAAGAGATCAAAGGATGAAAAGACTGCAATAAAAACTCTGTTTAAATTTGCACTGTCCAGTATATATGCAAATGGCAACTCTTTGTATGGACTATTCAGTCTTGGAATCTGAAACTCAGACCAATTAATTATTCCTGAAAGATGCCTCCAAATTAAAGAAGCAGATGCAATATGGCTTCAGATTACATGCATGATGCTTCAAAAATTAAAAAGATCCAAACAACAAAGACAAAAGGATTGCCTTATATATATGGATATGGTTGGATGCATGCATATTTAATTAGCATAATCTATTAGTTAAGTTGTACAATAACATGCAGGGCTTGTACTGCAGCAGCATGGTGGAAGGCAGCCATTCAGAACTCCTAGCTTTCGTTGTTCCCTTACTGCTCATCTTCTTCTTCTTCCTTTTGTTCCAGCTCTTCCACCTCCGGCCCGGTCGTCTTGGTCACCTACCATCCCCTCATCGGTTACCAATCATAGGCCACCTACACCTCCTCACCTCCCTTCCACATCAGTCCTTCCACGGCCTCTCGCAGCGCTTGGGTCCCATCTTCTCCCTCAGCCTTGGCTCCATGCCCTGCATCATTGCTTGCTCCGCTTCAGCTGCTCGCGAGTTTCTTAAGACGCATGACTCATCCTTTCACAACAGACCCTTCACCAAGGCGGTCTCTATTCTAACATACGGCTCCTCAAACTTCTCCTTCGCTCCTTACGGCAGCTTTTGGCGCTTCACGAAGCGACTCTATATGTTGGAGCTCTTCAGCGCTCGAACACTTGAGCAATTTCGTCCAATTCGTAGTGATGAGCTTAGACAACTTCTTGAGGAGTTGCACATCAAAGCCAAGAAAGGTGAGTCTGTGGACTTAGGCGCAGAGATGACGAGGATGACAAACAATGTGACTAGCCGCATGGCCGTTAGCCGACGATGCTCGGGAACAAATGCTGAGGCTGAGGAGGCAACTCGGTTGGTGATGGAGACGACAGAATTGTTAGGAAAGTTTAACGTTGCGGATTATTTATGGTTTTGCAGAAATTTGGATTTGCAAGGGTTTGACAAGAGGTTGCTGGATTTGCACCAAAGGTTTGATAGGTTGATGGAGAGAATTATGGAGGAGAAGGAAGAGGAGAGGAAGAAAAGGAAAGGAGCTTGTCTAAAGGATGAAGATAATTTCAGAGATAAGGACTTGCTTGATATATTGATAGATATATCTGAGGATGAAGCAGCAGAGGTTAAGCTCACAAGAAACAATGTTAAAGCTTTCATACGAGTGAGTTTTTTTTATGCTAATTTATCTTTGTATTATACAAATATGAATTTTATTTTATATTCAACTCACATAATTTCATTCATTCGATAACTTTAGGATATCTTCACCGGGGGCACTGACAACACATCATTAACGGTGCAATGGGCGATGGCTGAACTCATTAATAACCCAATTTATATGGAAAAAGCTAGAGCCGAACTTGACGCTATTGTAGGCAATCACCGTTTAGTGGATGAGAATGATATTCCCAACCTCCCTTACCTTAAAGCAATCGTAATGGAAACACTTCGTCTCCACCCACCAACCCCTCTAATCCCTCGTGAATCTGACAAAGAATGCATTGTTGGTGGCTTCAACATCCCATCTAAAACTAGGCTATTCATCAATGTTTGGGCGATTGGTCGTGAGGCTAAGCATTGGCCCAACCCTCTCAAGTTTATGCCTGATAGATTTTTAGTTAAAGATGATGATGGTGATATTGGCATTAATTTTAGGGGGCAACATTTTCATTTAATACCATTTGGAAGTGGAAGGAGAGGTTGCCCTGGAATAACAGCAGCACTTCAAGTGGTGTACTCTGCACTTGCCTCCCTAATACAAAGCTTTGAGTGGATGGTTGCTGGAGGTGGAGAGAAGGTTGACATGACTGAAGCTCCTGGTTTGACATTGCGAAGAGCTACTCCTTTGGTGTGCATTCCAGTGGCCCGTCACATTAGTTTGTTACCTTCATCATAAGATATTTTGGTGGCATGCAAGGTTGAAAAATCAACTCTTTCATGCAAAATGGAATAATATTCAGTAAGATATGTAAAACATGTGTGGTCGATTTGGTAAGAGTGAAATATTTGTGGTATACTTGTTAGGTGAAAAACAAATAGTCCAAATTATTTTTCAGTGGGTGAAAATAGTAAGGCAAAAAAGAGTTCAAAATTTATATAAATTCCTCCACTTAAAATTGATGTGCTCGAAAAAAAAAAAACTACTGAAATATGAGAAAGAGGTGATGAAAAGAGTGTTAGAGATTGGTAGTTGTAATATTTATTATTTATAAGTTTGAATTTATTTATTTTATTTTTAAGTGTGAAAAACATCTAACAATGATGATGTCTAATATATAATTTTTTCTATAATTTATTGAATTAATGGATGTTGAAATTATTAATGAATGAAAAAGAATTCACATACATGCATGCCAGGCTACAACAGCATGAGTCCTTTTTTAGGAATGAGTAATAATCATTAGTTAATTAAAATAAAAAATTTTGAGCAATGAAGAAAATAGGATTTTGGGATCCTTATGTGCCCCACAATGACTGAACTATGTGTAGTTAAAAACGGGTAAAGTCATAAAAATCTATCCTTCAAAAAGATGAATATAAAAAGGCAATTATAACATCCTTTTACAAAGAGAAGTGTAAGTAAAGTTATATTTAGTGTATTTGAGAATTTAGTTATATGGAAATTGGGATTTCATTGATTGATTTTTTTTTAAGTTCAAATTTTGGTGTTTTAAAAGATAAGCAGGATAAGAAATACATATGTCTCCAACAAATAAACTACATCTAGGAGGTTTCAATGTTTAGATTCTACGATTAAAAAGTGAATTTTTTTGAACTTCAAAAGTGGAGAGTAACCATCTATAAGCATGTGAATAATAATAAAAAGTGGTGGAGAAAACTTGGAAGAGGAAGAATAGCTTGAATAATTGGAAGGGGGAAGAATAACCTGTTTGCGCGCCATTTTACTTTGTGGAGACCTTCTCTATATTTGCTTCATAAGAATCTACTTTTTCTATATGAACTCTGTTCAAAGAAACATAACACAAAAATGCAAGAGCAAAATTGGCCAAATGTAAATAAAAAGGATAGAAATGAATATATTTTATAAGTCGGTACTTGTAACATGAACCGTAGAAGAGTGATCCAAAATGAATTTGAACATACTCAACCCAAGATAATATATGAGAAAAACCTCAAAACATTGTATCCAAAATAGAAAATAAAATTTAATTTTTCCTCAGTTCAAAAAGATATCCCAAAGCAAAGTATTCTTGTGGTTAATTTCATCTTGGTGAATTGTCGGGTGCCAAATTGTTTGGGAATAATTTTATATTTAATTTGATTTATACATAAACTTGATTTTAGAAAAGTAATTGTTTTTTTTTAATTTGAAGAGAAATAATGTTTTAATTTTGAAAATACAAGACCAAATCGATCTCATTTATACAATAGTTTAAATGATATGCAAAACACCGCAAATGATGCACCTATCCCAGAGGATAGACACATTACTTGATTGTGAGATTTGATTAAATAAACTAAAGGATTTATGATATCTATTTGGTTTGCAAAACTATTTTTTTATATAAGCTGACAAGTTCCCCTGTCTAATATGGAAGTTTAGATTGAGTTTATATTAAGCTGGGTTTCAAAATTTCCTATAGAGGCAAGCCTCTATAGTTAATTACATCTTAAGTGACCAAGGTCGCTTAGGATTACTCTCGATTCAGGCTAGTGGTTTTGCTCTCAAGAATTCCAATGTTTAAGGTTTTCATGACTGCACATTAGAAATTTAAAAGGAATTGGATCAAGTTGGAACAGTTGTTTTTTAGGAATTCAAATGAATAAAAGGTAGAAGATGTCATTGATCAGAGGGAAACCCATAGTTAATTACATCTTAAGTGACCGAGGTCGCTTAGGAATAAAAGGAATTGGATCAAGTTGGAACAGTTGTTTTTTAGGAATTCAAATGAATAAAAGGTAGAAGATGTCATTGATCAGAGGGAAACCCCGATGACTTCCCAAGCTATCATATTATTTGGCTTCAATTTAGAAATGATACTACTTGAAGTTTCAACCTACCAATTCTATTTTTTTAGGTCTTACATTTGCATGACACAGTCATATAAATAACCTAAAAGATATGAGGGTTTACGTCTCGGAGCCTAAAACGAGTTAGGGCTTAGTTTGCACAACATTATTGTGTAAAAGCCTAAAGATGAATTGATGATTTATGTCATTCTAGGCAGGCTACCTCAAATTTCTCTAGTTTGTTATTTAATTATAAAGAAAGATGTGTTGTTGTAGATCTAGTTGCTCTCTCAAAGTTGTTCTTTTGTTCACCCCTGCCATGCTACCCACGATGCTAGCTCCAAGCTTCTCGTTGAAATGACAGCTCAAGGTCTTCTGGGTTTAAGGTTTTAAATTTTTCATATCAAGTTTTGTTGTTGTTCAAGTATTATGGGGGAGGGTTAAAGTTGATTAGAGCGAGCTGGTTAAGATCTCACGGTTCCCTCGTTCCAGTATCACCATTTTCTTTTGAATTTACTTAGTCTAAAAGAGTTGTTAAGCTCATTTAATTTGGGGAGATCTTGTTAGCAACTGTGAGTTACCTCATCCAAGGGACTCCCGTAAATTCAAAAGAACGTAATATGTTGTTTGTTGTTTTTGAAAATGTTATTTAAGTTAAATTTTGAAAAAGTCAATCTTAATTTTGAAAATTTGTTGTTTTGGGCTTTTTGAAAAGTATTTCAACCAAGCATGCATAATACATTAAAATAGTAATAAATTACAAAAATAAAATGACAATAAATAAACTGTAAATGCGTCCCTTTCATCTTCTTGCTGCTCTTGCTGAAATGTTAGCCTCCATAATCATATATATACATATATATATATATATGTATGTAT